TTGTCTTGTGCAAGAAAAGAGCGAAAGAAGCAGAGGGAGGGGAGCTAGAATCTAAAGAATACCCCCAAGCAAAATTCGAATAAGAAACAACTTCGATAAATGCGTTACCTCACCCTAGGGAATTGCACTTCAAAGACTGGTTATGAATAATTTGCTTTCTATTGGACCCACATTTTTATTCTATCTCCTATTTTCTCGTGATTTTTCCCCACAAGCAGTGATATCGAAAAATCATATACATACACATGTACACAAAGACACACACAACATATATATATATATATATATACCGTCCTTTACCGCAGAGATTTTTCTCTCCTCCCCTCTGCCTTATTTTCCTGTTTTTCTTACATACTTTTTTAGAAGGCATTCAGTCTCATAATCCCGTTTAAAAACCAAAATCTTTTTCCACTTTCTTTTGATAGCTGTCCAGAACATAATTTTTAGCATTTACAAAGCTGGCGTTAAATATTTCTCGATTTCGTATCGTTTTTGGTACTTCTTTCCCTCCCTCCCCTCCTGCCTCCTTAAATTGTAATTTCTGAAGAATATTTCCTTTTGTGTTTCACAGTAAGCAACACTCAATGTTGGTCTCCCCCTAAAAAAAAACGGATTCTTTTTTTAAAATCCTGTTTGTTTCCGATACGGCATAATGTACCGTGGGCGATTCATCCGTTAATAGCAATTGATAGCATTGTAAAGATTGACTCATTCTTTTGTGTTTTTAAAACGATATACCAAGGTTTATTAGACCTCCAGATTTCAAACATAATTATTATCTTTTTAAACTATTAATAAAATATTCAGAAACATTTATTTTATTTTTAGCTGTTATTTTCCTTTACTAGCGGACTTCATTTTATTATCAATATTCATACGCGGAGATTTCCACGTATGAATATTGATAGTAAAATGAAGTTTAGATAGAAATAGAATGTAAGACACGTTTTGTTTTGCATGTATTAAAAGGATATACTATATATATAACTAAAGCACTGTTTTTTGAAGATAACGTTATCTCTTGAGAGTTGCTCCACACAAGAGATTCATCCCATTCAGAAGGAATTACAATCGGTGTTAAGGTAGGTAGTTGTGCAACAAATCAAACGCCCTTCTGGTAGAAGACTGCTATCTCCTTACGGGAAACTGATACAGCCGTCTTTACATCTTTATGCGACTGCAATCGACTCTCTTTCATGGACATTTTCAAGAGTTCGAAGAGGAAAATATTGCGCAGTTATGGATCTAGACTGTACCAGGGTCTATCACTGAAGGGTATCCAAACTCCTCTCACTGATCCTGGCGGCCTGAGGTTAGCATTGCTTTGCAGTAGGATAAACTTCTAAGTAAAATTGCCAAAATGTTTGACGTTTATTGCTCATCACAACTAAATGAGCCTTGATTATGCATCAAAACCGAAGGACTAGAAACAATCCCTTAATAGTTGTTTTCCATGGGAAAGAAATTCACATTGGTCTTTTTGGATGCGTTTGAAAACAAAGACTAGAACTAAAAATGTATCTAAACATGCACATTGGTCTTCTTTGGACGCATCTGGTAGCGAAGATCTAGAACTAAATAAACATTTAACGTGCACATTAATTTGCTTTCGACGCGTCTGGTAACAAAAACTAGCATGTGTACAACGAGTTACACAAACTATTCTAAATTCACCTAATACCTTGCTGAATTCATGCCAGCTGATAGTCCTTACATCGGCTTACTTCGTGAAAGTGCATGTTAGACAAGGGAATGCAAAACTACTGAAAAGAAACCGTTTTATGACCCATATAAATACCCCTTCTCATTCGAAACGAAACAAAATAAAAAACAACAAAAACAACTATTCGGAATAAAACAATTGCCAAAAAGTATTGTAGAATGCAAAGTGTATGAAAATGGAGTTACATGAAAATTTCAGTGAGTAAATTATATTACAAAAATAATGTTTAATATTCAAAATTAAATTATAAGAAGTTAAAAAAAGGAAATAAAATGGGATTTGATTTTTCTAGCGTAGAAGAAAAACGAGCAAAATATTCTCAAAATCACGTGCTACCAAATTAATGCTACTTATTTAAAAAGTGAATTCTTTGGTCATAGAAAAACTAAATTTAAAGCTTGGGGAGAAAGCTTTTATCTTAAATCTTCTTTCGAAACATCAGAAACGATAGATTACAAAGCATTAAAATCTTAGCGCTTTTAAAAGAAAATTTTTCTATAAATTAGTAGGGCAGTCAGATTAATTAAAATTTAAACACTTAAACGGCTTTATATTAAGAGTAACCACAGAATTTATATTAAGTGTAACATCTTTCGAAGTGTCAGTTATTGTAATAAAGAAATTAATTTTTCATGTCAACTTTGTAGGAAAAATAACTTGAGGAAATGGGTTTTACGATATGTACATTTAAACAAGTTAAGCATTAAATTATGTTACGCAAGAGGCATATGGGGTGAAATTTTTTCAGCTCACACTGATACAACGATTTTAATATGATAAACTGAATAAAAGCTTTATAAGTGCAAATTAAGAATAATGAAAATGTTTTTTAAATTTTGAGCATAATTAATTACTAATTAAATAACTCCTTTACGAACTTAATAAATTGCGTTAATAAAATTTTAAATAAAATTCTATGTAAATTTAATTATTGAATTCTATTTGATAGTAAAATTCTTTCTTCTTTCCCTTTAATAACAAATATACTGGTGATTATTTCGTAAACTTTATGCATAATCTAAAATGAAACGTTATTTTTCGTATAAAATTAACTGAAAGTAAGTAAAAAAATTAATTAATTAGTATTAGATATACATACAAAGCCATCCTTCTCGCCGAAGATTAAAGGGATGCTATTATCGCTTCGAAAAGAACGCTTAGTCAGAGAATTTTTTGACTCTTTTACGTTGTCCTACCGAAAAAATGTCTTTCATTGCGCATCTTTTGCAGTTCTTACCACGGCATAATAAATTTAAAACAAATATTAAAGAAAAAGGACAGTTCAAAGTTTGCTTTCCTTTACAGGAGAAATTAAATATATACTAGTTTTTGCATTGAATAAAAGAATTATGGCAATGTCTGTAGAAAAATAATAAATGTTCTCATATAAACTCAATGCTGGTTACTAAATTATGAAATATTGTAGGATATTATATTCTCTTGAGACTGATTAAAATAATAAAATTTCAAGATTTTAAATATACTTTAGCTAAAATGTAAATGTAAACATAGCGTTCATTTATTTTCTAACATTCAAGGCGTTCATTTATTTTGTAAACACGCCTTTGTGGTTTGTATTGGTATAGTGCATTGCTGCATTACTGGTTTCTTATATATTTATTAAACTGACTGAATACGGATTTTTAGGTTTTTATCTTATTTATTATTCAAAGCATTATTATTATTTCGACTAAGAAGTTATTTTAGAGTATGTTTCAGGTTAGACTGAAAGAATTAATTTCTCAGTTTCCACTATATTTTTAATGTTGTATTAGTCATGCAATATAAACAGAACTAAAACTATTCATATGAACAAGTCTGTTGAGAATGTGAGAATGAAAAACAAAAATAAATAACAAGAATTTTATTAAGTAAAAAAAAAAAAAAAAAAAAAAAAAATGAAGCTTTTAATTTACATTACGCCCAACGTTAATAAATTAACGTTAATAATAAAAGGTACGTTTAATAATAATTAATAAAAAAGTACCACGTTTAATAATATTTAATAAATAAAGGTAACCCACAAACGTTTAAAATGTTTTGTGGGTTACCTTTATTTATTAAATATAATGGTCTTCGCACTTAAACAATAAAATTCAGTTCAACAGCAATATCGGAAAATAATTTTTTAAATAAGCATATCTTTAGAATTTCCAATGTACAGTCTCGCGCGCTGGAGATAAAATGTTTCTTTTTTCCCCCGTACAGCGTTGTCATTGCTAGCTTTAAAATCATTGAGTTTGTAATCCAAAATTCGTTAAAGTTTTACAAGATATGAAAAAATTCCAGATTCCAAATTTGGGTTTCCAGATGCCCATATTCGGGTGGAAATGTATGTTATTCAAAATTTAATGAGTAAGTATTGTCGTTTTATCACAATGCGAGAAACATACATACAATTATGAATATTATTCATTATTGAATTTCTTTAAATATAATACAGGGCTGTAATATTTGATGGTAACAGTTTGAAAAGTGTACCGACATGTAACGTTTTCAACGCAAAATGCCAAAACGAAATTAATAGTCCTTCTGAGATAACGCAGTTTCTGCTAAAAGAATAGAATTTGATTTTTCTAATTACGAGATAGTAAATCAAGTTTGCCCGCCTGATAGAACAAGGAGGATTTGCCAAGTAAAACCAGAGCGTATTCTCACTACACACGAGAAAAATCGAAAAAGTCTCAAGTTTGACATATATGCTATATGTATTAAACTATTTCTTGGATTGCTATTTTAACTTTACTTTAGTTTTTAGCAGATATTCGTTTCAATAACTAATAATTTTTTATTATGTACAAAAAGAAAAGCACATGTGTGACCATTTATTTAGCAGCTGTATAAAAATGTTTAATGAAAAAAAAAAAAAAAAAAAAAAAAAAAGTACTTTTTCAAAATATTTTAAAAATCTCATTTAATCAACTGAAATTTTTCGAATAATAGGTATGAAAAGCAATTTCGATATATTTCGATATATTTAAATGAAAACAAATAAAAATTGCGACAAAATCCGCCAAATGATGTCGGGTCCTTAACGTAACGGTTAAACCTACCTATTGTGGGCTGCAATAGAAAATTTTCTTAAACATTTTATCTTAAACAATTTATTATCGTCATTACTATTAAACAGCGCTCTTCTTTCAGTATTTCTCTAAGTAACCCTACTGAAGATATACTGTAATTCCTCTCTGGTTTTCAGTTTTCACATTATTACGTTTAGAAAAGATTAATCTGTGTGCTACATTATCTCAGTTTAATACATTATTTTTCTCTCTAGGTTGTCATATCAACTCAAGTAAGCGTGGAGGGACCTTTATTAGCTGTATCGGAGAATATGTTCGTACACAACAATTCCAAACACGGGAGGAGGGCGAAAAGACTGGACCCAACAGAAGGTAAGAATAGCGCCCAGGCTTTTTATTTCACCTTCAGTTAGGTTACGTTACGTTAGTTTAGGTTACTTGAATGCAGTTCAGCACATGAAGGTTATCTGCTTAAGAAGAGGGATGCTTTTGTGGAGGGACTCGTATTCACGTTACATATTTGTTTTATATCACTAAAACTAATCATGCAGCCAGCCCAATCGCCTGGACTCGAACTTACAGTGTTCAGCAGGCTTAATCACTTAGTCACTGGTGACAGAATTTCACCTTCGGTAGATCAAATTATCTTACGACAATTAAATATCTAAACATTTATATCGGTTTCACAAAAATCATTACTATTTTAATTTAATATAACTTTCTTTATTTTTAGTGTCCGATAACAGTAAATCGTTCGGAAATTACATTAATTGCTTCCAAGTAGAAGATTATCACTAGAAGAAAAATCAAATTGTATGCCAAGTGATCTCAAGTGTATAGTCAATAAATTAAACGTTTCTGAATCTTATGCAATCGAAAATTTTCTCATTGTTAAGTGAAGTTATTTATATATATGGTCACAATTATATGAAGCATATTTTTTTTAAACTTTTTTTAAATTCAATGTGATAAGTGGAAGAGAAGTACGCTAATTTAAAATTTAAAATTAAGCAAAATTAAACCTTAAATTGATACTGGTTTTATAGAAAAACACTGTTGTACAGGGAAGGGAACTCATTTCCAAGAAGCAAACAATATTCTATTTTTTTTTGTAAAACTGCCGTCAATCTAAGGTTCAACTATGCTTAGTGTTAAGCAGTGGGAAGAACACATATTATACTGTGCTCTTCAATATCATATTATTTTAAAATAAATGAATATTTTAAATTCTCCCTCATTTGTTTACTTTTCTATATATCTTTCATGTTGTCTGTTTTAATGCATAAACTTAAAAGTAGAGTGTGAGTTCCTCAGAAGTGTTTTCTTAAAAAAGATAAGAAATTACGCGAAGTCAGTATATGAAACACTGTATTTGTGCATCACTCTCTAAAAGTCATTAAATATGCATGACATGAAATAATTCGTTAATTCTAGAATTATATAAAAAGTTCACGTTAATAATAAACACTTCATATTTCTCATTTTGCTCCATAACATTTTCAGAGTTTTCTCAAGGCTCAAATAAATGTCTTTGAATCTATTAACAATAAATGAGCTTCTATCAAGTGACGAATGGGAATCAAGTATAAATATCATGGATTAAATGTTTCTTGATACTAAATACTGAACATAAGAGAATAATACCATTCGGATGTCACAGAATCTTTATTTGCTAAGATTCATTCAGAAGCGTGAAATAAAACGATATTAAATCTTAAAAGACTAATTTTGAATTTTAATTTAAAGTAGAATATTAGACAGAAAAAAAAAATAAAATAGAAAAGGAATGAAATTTTTTATTCTGAGAGCATTATACTATTATTAGCAATATGATATCCGTTATTTACAGACGAATATTGAGTCTTTTTTTTAATCTTTACCTATACTTAGATGAATAAGTGCTGTTACACACATTGTGAAAAGTTCTTGAGAATGCCGGCCAGTTCTTTCCAAGTAATATTTATAAAGAATTTTCTCCCTCCTATCCGTCTGCTTTGGTGATGTGACCGTTAGCACATCCAATGCGTATTCGGGAGGTCCAGAATTCAAATCCCGGGGAAGACATTGTACATTTTTCACGTTCCTGCATCGATATAACCTAATGACTCTACATATTTTAATCAGATAACAGCACACTCGATTTGAAGAAGGATGTGATGATTACTGAGTTGTCGAATCCTCGATCATGCATTTTAGATCTTAACTTACATAATCTACACATCTTCATACAAATTGATTGGTAAGAAAGGTCAGCTTTAATAAGTTGGTGCAGAAAATCTCTTGCGTCTTCTTTCGATAGCAGCAGCTCTGATGTACAAATGAGCTTCTGATTGATTTCATTTCACTGTTAACAGCCTGAGTAATTAAATCTGTTAATTATGAGTAACTAAGAATTACGTATAAAGCAAGAATTAGCAACAAAATTTTTGACTGCCGAAGAGAGTTTCTGCATGAAGGTATAATGACTAATTCTGAAAATATAATGAACAGCGGAATTTCTGACTGCCTAAGGGAGTTTCTGCATAAAGGTGTAATGATTAATTCTGAAAATATTATGAACAGCAGAATTTTTGACTGCCTAAGGAAGTTTCTGAATGAAATCATAATAACTAATTCTGAAATTATTATGAACAACGGAATTTTTGACTGCTTAAGGGGGTTTCTTCTTAAAGGTATAATTAATAATACTAATTAATAATACTGAAAATATGAAATTTTTAAAAATGACTGGAACTATATATCTGCAGACTCAGGCCTGAAAGGAACACGTTCCAATCTTCCCATGAGAATACAAAACCACATTGCCATCAAGAAATGTCGGAAACAATGACAAACTTAAAATCCGCACTTGTTCTATACCCTGTTTATAGTTGATATTTGGCACCATCAGTTTTTCATTTGTTTCCAGAGTTGAAAAGTTAGTATTTTTTATATGTTACTGAAATTCCTGTGCGATATGGTTCGAAATCAAGCTATGAACGATTTTTTCAATAATGGAATGAACAATTAGATCACACTTTTGAAAAATGTATTGAAATAAATAAGCTGATAAATAAACGTTTAATGCTTAGGAGAAATAATATTTTTTTATACTTTTTTTAAAATTTTATTTTGTCATAAAATTATGTTATATAGCTGCAGACCCGGTCATACCTCATATTTTTTGTGTTTGTGTTTTTACAATTTCATCAATCCTAAATTATGACTATATGAATTTTTGAATGGCCATTAATTTGAATCTTAAACTAATCTCGAAGCTTTAAAGCTTTTAAATATCATATGTTTTTTCTAAATTCATACAATTATAAATTTTGCGTTTCTTAAACTAATTGAAAACATCCGTGACTAAACAATGAATTCTTCAGTTCATGCTACGCTATATATTACGTTAAGGTAAATATATGAAGGAAAAAATTAGTATTCATTTAGCTCGGAAATAATAGCAAAGAGTGATTCTATATTCTTAAATGCTTTAAATCGTGTTATTCATAGTAATATGTTTCAAAATCGCGTTATTTTATAGTAAAATGTTTCGAATGGAAAAGCTGGAATTGTTTATATTTCAAATGAGGTTTTTGCATTCTGACAACAGATATCCCTATTTTTCCTGAGACAGAAAGCAGTTTCAGTAATTACGCCCCAAAAATATGTATACGCATAAATTTAGAAATGCGTTTAATTAAGATTTTCCAAAGGTGAAATCAATCACAGTGTAAGAGAAACAAATTAAATCCTACTGCAGAGACAGCAACAGATTGTCGAGGACATCACAACAGGTTGCCGAGTACAGGAAGAAAAAAGTTTTTAAAGTGAACTAAGAAAATGTATCTCAAAATCCCGCTGGAAATTTGTTCCATGTCATAGAAATATAAATCTTGTGTTCGCATCTGTTGTCAACAACAGTTGTATAAATACATTTCATGGAAATGCTTGCATTGCATCCATTTTAAAAATATATAGAGAGGAATGGCCTCCATCAGATGACATCACAACTTAAGAACGAGGGAGTTTTCATCCCCGAGCTCAACGTAATAAAAATATATATAAACACATTGTATACACATGGAATATTGCATGCAAAATAGTGCCTGAAATGCGCAGCCTTGAACTTACAACATTGCATGTTCTTCTTGATCAAATAGGCCTGGAGATGGAAGAACGGCATGCATAAGTTTAAGCAAAAGCTATTCCGCCTTCCCCCCCTTTTATTCCGCATTATCTATTCAGAGGAAACTTTGCACAGATGCGCTGTACTGCAGCAATAGATGAACTGGAAAGGGTAGAATTTTAGGCTCTTCAGATGGTAAACACAATCTCGCCCAAGAGATTTGGTGCTCCAAAAGTTGAAAAAAAATTTTTTTTTCTTGATCTTGCTGATACCGAAATCCGAAAACGGGAGAAACTAAAAAAATGGAAGTTCGACTTGGACTAGTAGAAAAGGCATTTTCGGTATTCAGGACTGTGGAGACCTAACTAAGGCTCTATCCCATCATCTTGACTTTGCCCGGAGGCCCTATGCCCTGACGGTCTCGATTCCTCTGGGACCGCAGGCTTTGATTAATCGAGTCCGACTCATCTTTGTACAGCCCTTCAGACATTCAATCACTTGTATTGACCCAAGTCCATGCTGGTTGCTTTCTGTTCTCTCCTCATCGTTTTATTTCGGGCATTTCTGTGTCTGTCCGTCGCACAAACTAAGTGGAAGAGAGAAAGCAAGAGAAGTATCGAAGGTTGAAAGAGATTAAAAGGAAAAAAAAAGCACATCGTTTCACCACGTCGTTTTGATATTCATCATTTCATGTATCAAAGATATATACTGAGTAGATCGATTTCGTGGATTCGAAAGAAATTATCCTAAATTGTTATTTCTTTGAACTTTTAAACTAAGAAGGACATTTCAGTTTGTAAAAGTAAATAAATATACTTAATTTTGAAATAGCAGACACATTTCAAACTGAATATTGTGTGCTTCTCTTCCGTTTAATATTTGTGGTCCCTTACGAGATTCATTTAAGATGTATATGGAGATATTATAATGTAGGATCAGTGCATCAAATATATATATACTGGGTAAATCTAGTACATAGATATGATAATCTAAGAGAAATTAGCTTAAATTGAGTTGCTTTTTCTTTTTAACTCACCAAAAGACTGTTTAGTCTATTCAGATAAACAAATCATTATTTAAATTTAAACTAAGATATACTTATTTCAAAATTAAATAATAATTCAAACTGTTTACTTCTCTTCCACTTAATTTTGAAACAAAAGACACTTTTTAAAGATTAGAATAATAACTTCTCTTCCATCTATTATATTTCCTCAGTTAAGGGACAAAGCTGTTGAAAATTATCGATTACAGCTGAAATACAGCTTAAATACAATAAAGCTGAAAAATATGCAAGCAATACGGATTTCAAATCCGAATACCGTAAAATAACTCTGAAAACTGATCCACTCAACATCAGTTTTAGTTATCAGTTGTTTCACAAACACTCTAATAAAGGATACTTATGATTTTTTAATGGGCCAGACCAAGCTACACCAGTTTTATAAATGATATCGTATTAAATAAAAGCAAGAGTGAAAAGCTGAAGATACCCGTGAGCTTAAAGTCTTTATCCCTGAAAGATTGGAAGACACAGGGAGCACTTGCGGCAATCCCTTGAAAGCACAATAGTAAAAAATTGAAGTTAAAGTGGCTAAACGGTTTAAAAGCCGAAAACGTGAATGAAAATTAAATTTTTATTTTGCGGTATTTCGCTCTGATTCGTCGAGGTCGGTGTTTACAAACCACCGAGCTTCGTTCCTTGTGATGAGGGGAGTGAGGCTGAAAGAGACGTATCACTTAGATAAGTGCAAGCGAAGGGGGTCTGGAGATACTAGTTTTTCATTACGACAAAAATCCTTCCAATTAAATTTATCTCCCCCAAATTGGAGCTCTTTGGTTCGATTCGCATTGGAGAAATTGGTTGGAAGGAAGTGGAAAAGGGGAGGGACTCAAAATTACGAAGAGGGTGGGGATAAGGGAATGCAACTTGGGTGCAGCGGTGGAAAGATGACAACCCGGGACCGAGAAAAGAAGTGAAAAAATAAATAATAAAAAAACACTCCCAAGAAAATCAGAGATTTTCGCCAATCAACGGCGTGAGGGAGAGCTAAAAAAGGGAAAAAAAATCCTCGGCTTGAGGGGTTTCTGTGGAAATGGAAGGGAAAGTGGAGAAGACTGCGTACATGCGAGGTTTGTGGGGGGAGGGCGGAAGAACTTTCGGGGCTAGAGGGAGGGTCGTAGAAGATTGAGGGTGGAAACAGGGTTGGAGGAAATGAAGAAACGAGGATAGTGGGAAGCTGTCCACTGAAGGATGAACAACATCCCGACCGAACGAGCAGGATGAGAAGGAACGAAGAAGAAATAGAGAAAGATTGGAAGAGGAGCCAAGAAATGTTGTTTAGAAGTTGACGTCCAGCGTTTGGATCGATGAGTATCCAGCGGAAACGTTGACAGCAGCGAACTGCCTTTTTCTAGTATCGAATCGCCTGAAAATTCGTTTCGAACTCGGTTATAGCGAATTAAGTAAGGTCCGCGCAAAATTTTAGGAGAGAAAGGGCAGCGAAATAAATATAGAGAGAGGGGTTGTAAACAATGGACTAGCGAATTCCGGAACGAATATTTTCTGTTTTAGTGGTGGAAAATTCCGTCCCGAAGATCCACAGAAGATTTACTTTTATTACTAAGAACGAAATTAGAAAATTCTAACATTAATCAGTTTTTGGATGACTATATAAGCTTTTATTCATATGTGTGGTAGTAGAAAATTTTATTTAATAGGAATCATGCTGTGATAGCTTAATATTACAATTCGGTTTTCATACAAATGTGCATTATTGTAATAGAAAGTTTTAAAATAAAGATAAGCTTTACTGTCTCAACTGTGAGTTATCGAGAAGAGAAAGGCATTGTATTTTCCTGTGCATCTCGTAAAACGTTTTTATTTATTTGAATAAATCTTGAGAATCCTAGCTAATTAAGCTGATGACTGGAAATCTGAATAAAAACTTAAATTAAAAAAATATTTAATTCATTTTGAAATTTCGTTTATGTGGCTTAAATACGTATTTTTTTAAAAATATTCTTTTTTGCCTCTATATATTGAGCGAAAGAAAGATTTTTCTTACGTTTTAATGTCGGAGCCTCCACTGATGCAGCTAAATATTTAAAAATTTTCAGAGTATGCAGATATCTAAAACGAAAATAAATTCAAATAAAAGAAATTAGTAAAGAAAAATTAAAATATGAAAAAGCTTGGAAGGTAAATCCCAAACTGGCTAAAACATTCAGGGTAACAGCAAAACTGCAGCAATGTGTTCTCAAGAAAATAACCAATAATGAAAAAATAAATATTGGGTTTCATTTACTTTTCAATATAAATGAGTTCTTGTAATTTTAATAATAATATACAGCAACATCTACTGACTTCTCGAGTTACCTTTTAAGATTAGCCTTTCACAATGGAACCAGTTCCACTAATTTTTGAAAATTTTTAACTTACTGAAAATCTGGCTTTAAAACTTAAATGCAGTTATTTGCCGAAGGATAGTTTAATTTCAGAAAAGATGAGTTTGCAATAGAAATTATTTAAGTAAGTTTTTAAAAATTGAGATTTTATACATCATTTTATGCCAAAAAGACACGTATTCGATAAAAAAAAAAAAAAAAAAAAAAAAAAAGCAAATTATTCATTCGGTAAAATGCGAATTGATAAATTAAATCTAGCGAAACTAAAAACTTTTAAGATAATAAAAATTTTAAACGGAACTCAAAAGACAATTTTTTACAGTTGGTTGTAACCACATATCAGTAAACTGTTGGTATAGCAGAAGAGAAGATTATCGATTTTAAGAAAATGAATAAGTTACTTAGAAATAAAAATATAAACAAATAAGATCCACTTTCTCTGAATCAAAATACATTCTGCTCAATTCAGAAAAATTAACAGTTAAATATTTTCACTGCTTTAGGCGAAAATATCTACACACGTTTAATATGTGTCTTCATACCTATAAGCACATACGCGTAATTAAGTAAAGAGCAGTGAAAAGTATATTTCCTTCAACTATATTGTTCTTTTATTAATCCTGTAATTACTTTCTACTAATATTATCTTCCTTTATGGCTACAATTTTAATATTATATAAGCTATTCCTATTTATAATTTCAGCTTTTTAATTTTTATTACATATATAAATTACTAAATATACTTACATGTTTACGCGTCAACGAAAGTGAGTTTTTCTACAATTAACAGTTTAGGAAATGGTAAGCGGTCTCAAGGTTGCAAACTGTATGAAATTTAAATTTATGTATAAAGTACTTTCAATGATAATTGAGCTAAATGTCATCTATAGTAAATTTAATTATTTCTATGAAAAAAAATTATTTGTGGTACTCAGTCAAATGTTACTATATTTGTTTAAACATTTCCTGTATTAAGTTAAGTAATTTTATATATCAGTTGGTATTAGTTTTATTGATGTATACATTAAAGACGCACGAGTGTTAATCACACTGCTGTAACAAGTGGATAGTTCATTTTGCAGCGACGCCGTGCATAAAGGCAATAAGCCCAAGTGAAGGCTGGACGGCAGGGAATTCTACAGTCATCATCATCGGCGATAATTTCTTCGACGGTCTCCAAGTCGTATTCGGCACCATGCTTGTCTGGAGCGAGGTGAGTCATCTTTCAATGTCTGATAATTTTTCTCATCATTTGATAATGTCTTCCTATGTTAAATGACTAAAGTGATTAAAATGTTAAGTAGTGAAATATTTTCAAATTGATCAAAGGGTGATCCAGTCACTAATTAAACACCAATAAATACGAATTTCATTTTGGATAAAAGCAAGCTTTAAAATAGATAGAGTTACGTTTGATTTTAGGTTTACTTATAAATTTTCGGTTTTAATGTCCTAATTATCAAGCTTCATATTCTGAGCAACAAGTTGTTCGTTAAATTCAGACATTTGTCGCGTAAATTGTTTGCGTTTGATTTACTGAAAGCAAACACCTTAAATTCTTTCATTTGGAATCTATATTAAAGCTTTGCAATAAAGGAGAGTTTATTTATTTACTTGTTTTAGGACTGATTGATTTTCGGTACTTTTCGACTGAGGTAAAGCATTTTGTATCTAGGATAGGAACTTTTCTAGGAGGCAATTAGGGATTTTTTCTGCATTTTCTCTATAGTAATCGCAATCAAGTTAGTAGTGTAGAGTTCATTAGTATTTTTTTGATGCTGAGAGATATGAAAATATGCAATGCCTTTGCCGGGACTCGAACCTCTGACCTCTCAAATACGCGTCGAGCGTGCTGACCATTACACCAAGAAGGCATGCTAAGAAAGCGGAAGAAATACTTTATATATCTCCCCTTTTAAAGAGCAAATGGGGAATAGGGGGCACAATCGCCACATCCTGTGGTGGAGAATCATCATCCACCCCAGTTTTTAGTCCAGACGCCACTGTAGCGGCATTAGGATATTTTTTTTTTTATGCTGAGAGACATGAAAAATGTGCAATGCCTTAGCCGGCACTCAAAACTCCGACCTCTCGAATACGCGTCTAGCGTGCTGACCATTACACCACGAAGGCCTTCTAAGAAGGCGGGAGAAATACCTTATAGTAGAATTGAACGCGGGATTTGTAAATATGAGTTTAACAAAAGTCTAAGTAAATGCATTTACTAATAGGCTGTAGAGACATTAGGATTTTTTTTTTTGGAGCAGGCAAGAGGAAAAATGAGCTAACGCCTTCGCCGGGAATCGAACCACGGACCTCTGGAATACCGGCCCAGTGTGCAGAACCACTACACCCCGAAGGCACGCTAGGAAGGCGGGAGAAATACCTTATAAGGCAATAAATTGAGTACATAGTGTTAAAATATGCTAAATCATTAAGCAAAATCTTAACCGCCAAATTTTGGCATTTGTTACCGAAATTAAAAGTTAGGCAAGATATCTAACTTGACAGCTTTCAGTTTTCTAGCAAGGCGATTTAATATAGCAGCGGTCAAACAATGTATGCATCAAAATGGAATAAAGAGTTACGGAAACTATCTGAATTCTTTAATCTTCGAATGAGACACTTTTTTCCATCTCCATTTTCGATTATTTCGAGCTAAAGATCGTAGAAGACTCCTAATTACATTTCTCAAAGTAGTAAAGCTTAACCTTACGGTATTATGGATTGTCATAAAATATTTAATCCTCACTCTCAAGATCTCCTGCGCTTCTGGCTCGGCGGTTCGCAATTGGTTTTAAAGCTCTTCCTCGAATCAACTTCGTTGTTGCTCATCCGTATCAAGTATTCCGCTATCTTTCCCTTCCTGCCTTAACAGGTCCGTTCGCTCTATCTTCGGCAGCGTTCAAACATTACTCTCCGCTCCAGAAGGACAAGTGATCATGCTGCAATCAACCGCCGATGTAACGGGACTTAGGTCATTAATACTTTAAATTGCATTAACTCCTCTCCCTACCTTTCGGTCTTTAGCGGGTTTACGCGATCAAAGACTTACATATAACTGGAGTAGAGAAGGGAAGAATTTTCTCTGCAGAATCAACGATTCTAGGTTATGTCGTTGTATTAGTCTGAAAGCAGCTTATTTCATTGGATGGTATTAACCCCATCGTCAACGTTGCTGTTTCCTGTCTGACAGTTGCTCTTCTTTCTAGATTCATTGCATCATACACTTCACCCGTTTCATTAATTCAGAGCTCCGACTCAGCTCAGGGCTTCCTATGAATGCTTAATGGGCGCTGGTAGTAATTCGCTTGATTCATCTGCAGAGATGATCATCATTCTTCGAGCGTGTTTTGCTCTTTTACCCCGAAATTGGTGCCATCAATCGATTTTGCTTCCAACGATTCTTTTCTACGCTCGCCACTTCTTTATTAAATCTTTATGAAAAGAAACAGTGTTTATAAATTTCGGGGCAAAATATGCTTTATATATAAAATTGAATTAACTAAGGTTTTTTTTTTCCTACCATGAGAATTACGGGAAAGAGAATTATTTTAACTCATTCACTAAGATTTCCAGTTTTAGAATAAAACTTTCATTGCACTTTCTAGATGTCGCCTGAACAAACTGAAACAAAACTATAATCGCAATTAAATAAAAAAATAGCAAAAAATCAAATATTAAATTACACTAAAGCCTTCATTTAAATGTATTCTAAAATTTATTTTAAAGTAGAAGAAATTTCAGGGTCTGAAAAAACCATAATATAGCTAAAGTAAAAAAGTTGAGCACAAACTTTACCATGATTTAAAGAAAGTTAGAGTCAATGTATTTGTCCAACACAAAGCAGTATTACTTTCCCAGAGTTTCAGATTTAATGACTTTCTTATAAATAAGAAAGTGTTTTTCTTTGAGAAAAGTTTTATGCAAGATACAGATCTTCTATGTTTTAATACGTATTTCGTACTGGTTACTGACTGCTATCTCTACTTCTTTTATTTATTATGTAAGTTTATTTGGAAATTTCCACAAAATGTTATACTAAAAATTCCGATTTCCAAGTCGAACATCAAATGAAACGTGATGACAGAGTTAGCTAAAAGTCATGTCCCGTTCTCGTTTTCATTGACAGAGTCTCGTTCTTTTTAGTAGCATAAACTAACGAGTTCTAAGAGACTGTATAAGGAATCATCCCCAGGTCTTAAAGATAACAGAAAATCAGAAGAGAAGCGCAAGAAGATGGTCCCATTTGGGCTTATGCAAAGCCAACATTTCTGACTTGACTCAAATATGTAACGTTGAACGTAAAATAAAATGTAATAAATTTAGCCTAACGGCTCACAGCATAATGTAACGCGCAGGAAGGCTACAAGCCTAATGACTAGAGCACTCTACGCGATATCGGTTGGGCAGTGATGTTCAATTTTTAACAGTTCACATTATTTTTAAAGAGCCTTTTAGACTAGCTTCTTTAAATTACACCAGATAATTTAAAAAATCAGAATTATCAACGTTTGTTAACTGTGTTAACAGTGCTTTAACAAGCAGACAAAACGTGTAATGAAATTTCACTCGCAAATCAAACTGCTGCAGCTAGGAAAATTTTTTGAAGAAGGATATAGCGCTTGAATTAAAAATCTGAAAAGTTAAAAATCTGAAAAGGAATCCTGCTGTACTGAACACAATATTTCCTTTTAAATTACAATAAATTAGACTCCTCATCTTAATCACTTCACAGTCCTACAAAACTCAAAAGTGGTTCTTCTTTTTTTCCTCCAAAGATAAACTTTTCGCGTCTTAAACTCGTCTTAGAAATAAATTCTTGCCCACTTGTAACAGCTGTCAAGACCTATTTGGAAAATTACCTACTCGTCTTCCTAACCAGGATGAAAATTTCTTTTGTTTTTCCTAGTCTCTTATCTGAAAATTCACAAAGACGATCGCCTAAAAACATGCTCTCAAATGAGCAGTAGTTCTATTGCAATACCAGCTGAAAGAATCCCGGGAGTGTATTCCTATTTTCCGTCTTTGTAAGCGAACGTCTCTTTGGGGATCCTGCTACAACGTGCCACGTGCCTCTCGGGATTAACGATCCAGGTCACATTTAACCCTGACTAGAGCGTGACGCGTTAACGCCTTACGACAATTTTCAAATTGAGGAGTCTGACTCGAGGAAAATTCTCAAGAGGTTAAGTCTGCTTATACACAGGGGCATCGGAGATTTATTTGAAATGTTTTGAAGTATTTTTCTTTTGCTCTATTATTTATAAGATATAAATCAAAAACTAATTATTCATCATTTAATTCCTGCTTTTATTAAGAAAATACAGATCGCTATAAAATTATGTCGTAAATTAAAAAAAAAAGTTAACCCTTTGGTTCTTCCGTTCTATCAAAATAAATTCTTATTAAATTTAAGAACTTAAAACGCCAAAAAAGTTTAAACTAATTTTGATGAAATAAATCAGATGCTAAAAAAAATCCAAACATCCATGAAACAACAGGTTTGGAGAAACGAGAAAACATATAGAGTCATAGCTATTAATTTTCACGTAAAATTACCTGATGATATCTCATTGTCAAATGCATAAGTCAACAAGTCAACTGGATCAAAAATCTTCCATCTACATTTGGCGGTCTGCCGGCATATAGAATCAATGATTCTTCGTCTTCATAAAAGTACATTACTATGGAAATATATATATACACTTATGCTTAGTTGTTTTTACGTATAACCTTTGTATGTAGTTAATTTGCTGAGTTAAAGTACTTAAAGACTTGAAAGAGTAGATTACTTTGTGAAAGGTCTTTTAAGAAAATATGGCTTCTACTAGCAAAAGCTCGAAAACTTTTTATGCAGTCGACTTTTATGCAGTCTTGGCATAAAACTTTTTATGCAGTCTTGGCATAAAACTTTTTATGCAGTCTTGGCAGAACAAGTCGTTCTGCCAAGAAAAAGGAACCTAGGACGAAACTACTAGTTTTCAACTATCTTACCCGTCGCTTAATTGGTAATTAAACACCCCTCAAAAATAAATTATTTTCAGCTGAGGTGTCTGATGTCATTAATTGCGTTTATGTGGCGATAAACGTTAACAAAGCTATTGATGGTGGTTGGAGATTAGTGGGTATTTATCGTATGTCACTATGTTTTTCGGAAGGTAGCTAGTTCGCTTAATCTGCTCGAAATGTTATTTATGTGGCTGAAGTCTGCAATGTCGGTTGCAATGAAAATTAGAGAACAAGAGGGAAAGCAAATGTCCTCCTGGCTTTAAAATAAATTGCTTAATTTGTTTTTTTCCTGAGATAAATAAATTTTAAACACTTGTCGTCTTAGATGCTATAGATATATTTGGCACAGAAAAGTGTTATAAAAGCTTTTCTTAGTGTAGTCGTAAGTGAATTACGTATCGCAAAGTAGCTTTGATAACAAGTAAGTAATATACATTTGGTATGTGATCCAAAAATGAAGCCACATCATTTTGATTATCGGAGTCAGTTTTCAACTTCCAAAGTTTAATCAACCTTATTAGAATTTATTGAAAAGCTAGTTTGTTTGATCAATCAGGACGTTTGATATTGATCCTATTTTCGATATCGACCGAATCCTCCCGCAACAGAGAAACTAAATATGGGATTCTGTTTTGAAACTCTTTCCACTGTAGAATATGACAGTTTCTTCAGATGGGCATTGGAAAGAAGTTTTATATTTTATTTTTAAATTGTAAAATTATTTAGTCCCTGAGTAAAAATTTAAAAGCAAAATACTATATTTCAATAAATAAAACGTTATTATTCATTATAAAGAATTGAATAATAATAAAAATAATAAAGAATTTGACAAATATCTAAATACTTTTATTGCTTCTAATACAGCAAAATATACTTTTATCGCATTACAAAAAAAAAAAAAAAAAAAAAATTTCTAAATGCAAGAAAAGCGAACATGCTGTAACATTTAGGCATAAGTTTAATCTGATAGGTATAAAATTAACAGTTTACCACCACTACAAAAATACACTTTTTATCGTCATTTATATATTTAACATGGAAAAGGAAAAAATAACGTAATTCGTAAATGAAAGTATGATTCTCATGTTAGAATCATACTGTTTTTTCCTTAATTACTGTTTTTAATTAAATAACATTCATCATCGATACTACTGTTGTATAAATATTAGAAACACTCATAATTAATTTTTAAAAATGTTAAATGATTTTATTTCCTAATGATGATTTTTGCTTTTCCCACAAAATGTACTTTTATTATAAGACAAAGTCTTTATTGAAATCCAAATTACACATGAATTAATCCTATTCATGCTCATGTATTATCATATTACGTTATATTGTGTACAACTACAGCAGAATTTATATTGTGTACAACTACAGCAGAAAACTAAGTAATAATTAAGACTGTGAGGACGGAAGTAATGCAGCTAAAGTAATACGAGTCTTCATAAGATTAAAAAGTTAATCCATGCAATTAAGCGGTTGCTTTACAACAATGATCTTTATTTAAATTATGAGTGTTTTGATCATTTGAAATTTCATATTATCCATATTTAGTATTATTTTAGACTTAAGCATATTATACACGTTAAGTGTAATTAGTAATATAATTATTTTTTGCAGCTCATCACATCTCACGCCATCAGAGTTCAAACACCGCCCCGACACATTCCAGGCGTTGTCGAAGTAACTCTATCTTACAAGTCCAAACAGTTTTGTAAAGGAGCTCCAGGAAGATTTGTCTACGTGTGTAAGTCCATTTGATGCTTATAAATGGAAATATTTAAACCATATTTTAACCGCAATTTAGCATAACGAGTTTAGCTTCTGTGCCTGAAAAACGGCAGTAGGATAACAAGTCAAAATTGTACAGGACGTTTAAAAAAGGTGATCACAAACTTTATTTTCTTCATCGAAAATAAGACAGTTTTATAAAAAGTAGTACCAGTATTGTGATTTGGAGACTTTTGAAAAAAAAAAGGGGGGGGGATTATAACTTTTTGCACAGTTCTATTATTGCAGTTCTATTCTATGTAAAGCGAAATTCGCGCATTATGACGATTAATCGCATTGGGCAAAAGAGAATTTGTTAAATCTCTAACTGACCCCTACAAAATATTAATTATACTTACCTCTCCGTACTTTTTATGTTAGAGTGTGTAATTTTTTCGAATTTATTTCGTTAAAATAGTGCAATACATTACATTCTCTTAATCATCAAGTTACAGCAAACCCAAATAGCGTTCCAATACAGCTAACTACAGAGCCATTTTGCTGTTCACTTAAATTTAACAAACATGTTAGTTAAACTTGATTCATTTCTGGCCATCCTCGTGTATAATTTTTGTTAATGTAAAAGGCACTTTCATTCTTATAAATATGTTATATTTTTATTTTAGTAAAATAAGAAAATTTAGGTTTATTATTATTTCTTATTATTCTTTATAACTCTTTTTATATTTCCTTAGTTTTTGAATTGTTTAATTCTTTTGAAACTTTTTTGAAAAATTATTTTAAGTATGCGAAACAGTGAATGTGTCGCGGAATGGTGTTCTTGTGCAAGAATATTTAAATCTTCAATTAAGTTTTATTTTTGACATAAAACATGACGTAATTTTTGACATTTTGGCTTCTTTATTTTTAGACATGATCTGGTTTTTATGATTAGTTCTTGCATAATAAGACAAAGAAACACATTCGCTTCTATTAATTACTACGATTTAATCGGAAAATGATTTGTTCCCTTCGAAAAGTCAATTAATTTCCAATTAATAGCAATAATTGTTTCAGTTTTTACTTTTATTTATTTTATTTTTATAAAAGTGGCTCACATTTTAATTTTGCCCAAATATTGCTTTTTAAAGAATTATTTCCTTTCAAAAGACAGTTCTTGAATTTTAATGAATCTTTTCATAAAAATGGACATCTATTAAATATTCATTATTTATATTAATCTTCATAGTTTTTCCCCTAAGGGGTAATGCAAAAATTACTTAATAAATAAATTCACACACACACACACACACACACACACACATATATATATATAGAGAGAGAGAAACTTTTTATATATAGACCCTTTCCGACCACAGCGTTGTAACAATTTTCACAAAATTTTAGTCTTATTTTGAGAGACTATAAGTTGAAGTGTTTGTCTAAGATATTTAAGGGAATAAACCCTGTAGCCACATTTTTTGAACACCTAAGTAGTTAACAGTTATCTTGTTATAGAGTCAAATAATCTTTCGGTTATGAACATCAAAGCTTTCACCAGACCATCAAAGTTTTTAACTTGCTTCAAAATCATTCTTACGAAAGCGGGCATCAGTGCAGAAAGAATTGTTTAGAAGCGTGCATGGTTTTAAACGGATACTTTAATTTGTTTAATAACATATGGCATAAATTTTTAAAACTAGACAAAATTTAACTTTAGATTGCTATCAGTTTGTAGAGTCATTAGATACTCCGTGTTAAAATTCCATTTAGAGTTTTCAGCCCAGAAGTGTAATACTACTCAATGCTTTTTTAAATCGGGTTTGAAAAATAAGGTTTTAAGATGGATACTGTTTTAAACCTTCTAGGTTTAGAAGATTTTAATGGGCATAATATTGATAATAATGATAGATGGAAACATTTTAGAACTGTTGTATATCTAAGTAATACAGGAAATAAAAATGTAAGTTTATTTCCTTATTTTTAAGTCTTCATTTAAAAAAAATTAAATTTTATCTGAATAAATCATCTTGAAGATGAAAGATAAGGTTTCATCGTTAGCTAAGAAAAGAAAAAAAATTCAATTTGTAACAATGTTCGCAAAGAGCATAGTTACATTTTTTTTTATTTTTGTTATTTAGAACAAACTTTTAGAGTATATCGTTCGTGCGAGAAAACTCCTCTGTTATCATTATTTTATGTTATTATTATGATGATGATGTTTATTATTATTGTCAGTAAAATATTATAAAGTAAATTCTCAGGAAATTTATGGGAAACAGTGTGTCATCAACACCATTTTTACAGCATATTATTAGGCTTTAAAACGTTTGCATTGATATTAAATATTAAAAATTACATTTGTTAGGATCAGATTATAAAACCAACATGAATTACATATACTGTAATGCCATGTATAAGATATACTGCTTATAAATATTATGCACAATGTACAAGATGTAGAACTTATAGTACTTTCGGGCAGAATTGAAAACATATAGAATTCAACATAAAACATCTAGAACATGATGACATTATATCTACAAAATTTAGTTACTGCAGAATAAGCTATTTCTGGCGTAGGAGAATGTTTCTTTGGAGTAGTACTCAGAGGAGCCTTTAATGTAAGAAAGAATGCAAAACGGGAAATAAAATGAGGAATCAGTATTTAAAAAAAAATTCTAATTGCTATAGTTCCCAAAACTAAGCATATATATGCACTGCATATGTGATAGTAATCGTTTTACTATAGGGTACTGAACATCGTTACGGGCAAAGGGGAGGATGAGCCAAAAGATTTAAACTTGACCAGACACAAAATTCGCCTTTAACTCACAAATCTAACCCAGCAAGCAGATTTAGATTTCAAGCGTTATTGAAATAATTCTTATGGTATAGATTCTGATGATGTAGGAAATTCTTATGATATAGGCAAAAAGGATAGTTGCATGAGGGTAAAAGAAAATCATGCTATCTGGAAATTTTAGATTACAAAGTAACACCTCAAAAAGAATTAGTCATTAAAAACATTAAAAATTAAAAAATTAAAAAAAAAAACTTGGAAAAATCATTAAAATATTTTTCACTTTTTTCTCAAGTAAATTAAATATGTACAGTTGCCAGCTAATTAAACTAAATCTTTGAAATTAACATGAATTAAATTTTATTCATGAGTAAAAATTACAATCTTTTAAATAAAAACTCATAAAGAACTTTAAATTTAAAAGCCGTGTTTGCTTATGCATTTGTTCTTTGAACGTCAGATGTTATAAACAATAAAAATATCAAAATGTTAAAACAGTTAACTACGTTTTGTACAAGAAAAGTCTGTCATACTTCTATAAAAACATAAACATGCAAAGAGATTTATTATACCACCACAAATTGTCATCATGACGACTGAATTTTACTCTGGATGCAGATGATAGCAATTTTCAAAATTAATCATTAGTAATGACTGTATAAAATAACACTTGTTACAAAATATTGTTAAGAAGTCCGGGTAAAATTTTTAAATGATTAACTTACGCTGTATTGAACAATGTAGCTACATAATATTGAAAATAATTGGAAAATCTGCTACATAATTGATTGGCAAGTGTTTATTTATCACGGGCAAAATTTAATCTCAGAGCGAAAACAATGAACACTCTGAAAAGGATTTTTTAGCCGAATAGAAAACATTGACAGCATGTTCTGTGACGTTCAGACAGAAAATTCTCAACCTCATACAATATAAATGTTAAAAACGCAATTCAGTTTTCTTGGCTGTTCGGTAATAAAATTAGTGCAGAAAAAGCTAAGCTCCTAATCCATTTTAATGATAAATTACGTAAATATAGTCATTAAAATCTGGCTACTATGCATTATTATATAGTTTATAGATAAAATTTTAAATTGTAATTTGGACTATTATAACATGAGTATAATTTGTAAAAAGTTACAAGTGAATGCAATCTTACAATTTTTCTCTGAAGTTTCTAGACCTTAGGAAATTTTTTAAAAACTTATATTGTGACATGAATTGAAATGAAATGTGATATAACTACTGAAACATAGCAGTAGGAGTTTACATTTACTTAAAAATTATCTAATTAATTCCACGCGTTTTTAAAAATAATTTCGTATGAAATTTTTTAACTTTTGAACCATTTTCGCACTACTATAATAACAAGTCTTATTTAGTAAATTATAATTATTAATCTGCTGTCATAACTGATAGCAAAACTTCGATAAGTTATGTAAAAATCAAGTTATGAAACTAGAACTTTTCAGAGACTCAAATTTTGTTATTATTAATTAAATTCTAATTATTAATCTGCAGTCAACACAACTTTGATAAATTATGCAAACCTTCCGTTATGTAATTAGATCATTTCGAAGACTTAAGCGTTATTATCTATTGTAAATCCCGCTAAAAACAACTAAAAGAAAAGAATTATAAACAAGGCCTTTTCTAAAGCAAGAGGAGCACACAGAATAAATCAGCTGCTTAATTTCTCACACATTAAGGCAGATAAAATCATTAAATCACTCTATTTAAGGGTGGTTCAGAACTTACGAAAGCAACATTTTATATGAAAGTGACAGTTTGACGGGTTTTGGACAGTCTCCAACTTCTTAAGTTTTTGATAAAGCATCCTGACTTTTGGTTTAGCTCCAGAGAGTCTCCAAGCTCTGTAGTTAGAACTGCTTCAAATACAATCTATCTCTGGAGCTGTTTCCCTCTATCTGTCATCATTTAGAAACTTTGCTTGTAATTCTTCTTGAACAAAAAAGAAAGCTATTAACCACGGAAACGTGCACAATGTTTCCTTGTGGGGACCTACTTTAAATCGTCAAGCGTATCGTTCGCAAGGAGTTTATTTCATGTTTAATCTGAATGGTTTTTTGAGTAGATACTTATTATTGTTGATTAAATACAGAGTACTATCAATGACAAGGAACTGCCTGTTAAGAAAATTCTGGAAAGAAGAGTACCATTATTTACAAGGAACTGCCTGTTAAAAAAATTCTGGAAAGAATCTATGTTTTGTA